CCTTCATATACATAATTTTTAACCCGTGATCCCTGTGGAATATCCTGGAGGCACCCAGGTGTCATATGCTTTTTTTGTTTTGTAATTGTTTGGGGGTGGGGGGAACCACATGCAATGCTGTTCAAAGCTAAATCCCGGCTCTGTGCTCAGGGATCACTCCTGGGGGGTGGGGTACAGAGGACCATATGGAGTATGAGAGATCAAACATGGGTCAGCTGTATGCAAGGAAAACATCCTACTCACTGTATTATTGATTTCACACACACCCCCCACCCCCGCCCCAGGGTTATATGGATCCTGGCTGACCCATAGAGACAAAGAAAAGACATCCTGCTTGTTACCCAATGACACTGTGATGTTCATTTGACATCACTGTCCACATATAATACCCAAATTCATGACTGGGCACAGAGTTGCCATTCTGTACCTAGTATCTCAACACACTGATACTAGTTAGTACTGATGGCTCACATTTGAATGTGGTTTAATAACACAAATTCATGCCAATGTCAACATGTGAATCTTTTCCACAGACCTCATCTACATTCTCTTACAAATATATATATTCCTCTAGGATAACAATGCTTTTTCATAGTCCCCTCATAGTCTAATGTTTTCACTGTAATTAAGAAGGGTGTACCAGCCTATCATCTCTAACATTATAAAGTTATATAATCAGTTCTGTGGGCATGTCATACAACAGAGGTATCAACTAACATGTCAAAAACCAAACAATGCCTACTCCACTAGTGGGCACTGTCGCTATGTATTCCTCCTCTCACCCTCATATGCTCAAAGTATTTCTAAAAACCAAATTTCTGAAATGTCTCTGACCTCTATCACAGTGCACTACTAAGCCTCGGCATACAGTGAATACTATAAACTTCAAGATAAGGTCGCGCTGCTTTAAAATAATCAGCACATCACTGTTTAAGCTATATTCATGTGATATAAACTTGAACACTGGTCTAAATTTTAGATTTATCATTGAAATACTAAGAAATATATTTACCATGAATGTGAACCAAAGGGCAAGTATTTAGTTTTTGGTTCAGGCAGCTACCACTATCACAAAGGCATTTCAGTTAAGAGTAAGTTCAACAAGAAAGAATATCTCAAAATTATTGTGATGAATTATTAACTATCTCTTGATAATTACTAAAACTGAGAACAATGAGAAGTCACCTATAATCTTTATTGCCTAACTACCGGAGTAAAATAATCCAATAATGTTTAGTCTAAATTTTATTGTATTGTTTGTAATCTGTGTGAAAGAGATTACAAGCAAAGTTAAAACTGTTACAATGTTATATATCAGAAACTTAAAAAATGTAATCTAAGATGAATAGATGTCAAAAAGAAAAGATAGGTTGCTTAATGACCCTTGCACTAGTAAGAAAACTGGGATGCCCAGTGTTCCATCACTGTTTACAGGTGGAATAATGGAATAATCACCAGCTTTTATTTACAAACTTGAAGTCATGTAGGACTGCCTCAGATAAGGAACCAGGCAGAAATCTGGAAAATAAAATGAAGGAAACGCTGTATTTGGAATTTCAAATTTTGTAAAACTATGTGAAGATAAGCCACAGCATTAGCTACTTCACATAATCATAGTTCCATTCACTAACTCATCTATATCTAAGTGATGAAAGTCACATTTCCATGCAGATTCTAAATATTCTGCCTAGAAAACAGCGATGCCCAGCATATCTGGTTGTTTATATGCTGGACTGACACAGCAGTAATTTTGGTGGCCCAACACATCAGGTAGCCTGGCCCTTTCTGCCAGGAGAACAGATCTCAAACAGGGTACTTGGTATCATATATTAAGAAGCCAGAGTCTCAAGTGGTTATTACACATGCTTTGCATGTAGGATGCCTGAATTGGATCCTATAGCAACACATGTACTCCTAGAGAACCACCAGGTAAGATGTGTACCATACACATGCATGTGTGCATGTGCTCACACATACACACACACACACACACACACACACACTGATAGATCAATCTTTCTGTTCTCCAAAGTCACTTCAAGTAAGAGCTGCAATTATCTTTAAAACCATTTACAACCCTATCTCATAACAATCTCTTCTCAATTTCTCCCATCTGTCTGGAAAATATCTGGAACTCAAGTCCTTTCTCTTTCTTCATTTCCAAGGCCCAAGCTCAAGGTGTGTCTTATCTCTAACCTCCAAGAATTCAATCGTCTCCCTTCATTTTCACCTTTTCTGCATGTTGGACCAACATTCACAGGGCTACAGAATCATAAGGAAAAAAAACAAGGAAGGTCTGAATTCTATTTATCCTTTGGATCCTCTTCTAACATCCAAGCACTAACAGGTTTGTTTATATTACATTATGCGTGACATTTCTCATTTGGAAAATTTATGGTTTCAGGATAAGTTCAAAGAAATTTGACAGTAACCAAGTCTTCAAAGTTGTAGGTCACAATTCCCTTCAGCAAAATATCCAAACACTTTCCCCCTGTAGTATAGTAAAATTACATTGGACTAAATTGTCTGGAACACACAAGTAGCAATTCTTTATATAAATGGCATGCTCTACTTTCCCTTACAAAACACCTGTTAGTCCTTAGATTCAACTTTTAAATATACCTTCCATCATAAAAACTTTAGTGTACTTTCAGACAAAATCTACTTATCCTCTATTACTTTTAATAACTTCTCTTGTAATTCTATTTTGAATTTATATTATTCTGCCTCCCCTTATACAAATGTAGTGTGGGGATAGTCAACAATTGGATTTCTTTACTAGTAATGAGCATGATTATTTGTATTTCAGCATGAGTCTATTAGTTTTATTCCATTATTTCTTCAAAGCATTTACTCTTGTGTCCTCTGTATTTAACAAGTATTGCACACAACAAAGAAAATATGTCTTGAATAATTTCTCAGTATATTAAACATTAAACATATTAGTAGGGAGGCATTATGCTTCATTTACATTTCTCACAGTAACTAAAAACTTGAGGAACAGAAACTCTTACAGGTTGAATAAAATATTAAGTGCAGACTGGCCTTTTGGGTTATAAAAATATTTATCTTCACCAAAAATAATTCATCATTTTTTTATTCCAAAAACATTCAAGAACTCTGCATATGCTATATCTTCCTCTGGAAGTGGACAGGAAAAAAATGCATGCAAGCTAAGCCACCACACTCATGTTGAAATTGGTGAATATTTTGAACACTAAAAGTTTTTCATAATTCCTAAACTACTCTTAGTCACAAGCTTGAGATCTGAGTCTCACCAGCAGCATCCCTGGTACCTTATTTCTCCCTATAACCAGTTTCAAATGATAGTTTTAAAGTGTAAATTTGCTTTTACTCACTAGCAAAATAATTAATCCACTAAGAAAATAATGGTAATGGTGATTAATACATTGTCTTCTTTAATTTACAAATTATTCTCCAAATTTAAGTCTTAATATTGCCCCTTACCCCCAACCTTTAAGTAATAACTAAAATTGCTTCCTAACTATTCTTTCTACTTTCATGCTTCCCATCCATAACATTCCTTTTGAGTACTGCCAGAATGACTTTCTTTAAAAGCATGGATCTTATTACATGACAGTTCTGCTCATAAGTCCACAATGATTTTGCACTACAAAACAAGAACATTATTCAGAATCTTTACCTCACCCTCATACTTGGAAACCTGCCAAAATCAACTTTCAGTTTTTCTTTGTAGATTTATTTGCATTGTTCTTCCTACAATCCAGATTCTCACAATATTAACTTTTGATTTTGTACCATTAAACTTTGTGCTTGGAAATTTCTACCTGACTTATTCAAATTCTACCCCTATACTTCAAAGCCAAATTCAATGATCTCAAATTTGTTCCTGATTTTCCCTTTATCTAAAAATTCAATACATTTTGCATATTCCCCCACTCCATCTTGCTTGCTGTACTTCATATTTTGATTATTCACTAATATAACTTATGTATCTTAGTAAAAATGTACCCAAAGTTAAAATATTTTTCTAATTTATCTGAACAATAATCTTCCCAAAATGCATAAAAATGTTAGCTCAAGACAGCTCATTATTTTTTAATTTGTATGGAAGAAAATTACTAAGATACCATAAAAAAGAATCTAATAAAAATATGAGGAAACTTAATCAAAGTAATGTGAATATATGAAATCAACTTTCCCTACTTCAATTTATAGATATAGCTATAATTTTGGAATGCATACACTCTGTCCAACCAGAAACTACATACAATTGTCAGCATTTATAAACATTTGAATCATGAGAAAATGTTTTCAAGCTATCACTTAATAATTTTGGGAAAAATTAATAAAAGTATATGTGGTAAAATGTTTTCCTTTTCTAAGGAAATCTCCCTGGAAGATGATTGATATAAGCTATTAAGGCTGTATGTTTGTAAATTCTTATTTCAGAGGAATTTTAAAAACACCAAAATACACTTAAAGCATTTCCAGTTATACTAAAGAAAGATAAAAGGTTATTATTTATAGGCAATCATATTCATTATGGTAGACTCTCAGAAGGCAACTGCAAACATAAATTTTCAATGCTTTTTAGAAAGAGTTGAGAATAAAAACATTTACATAATTTCATAGAAACCCTGGCTTTTTTTTTTGTTGCACTTCAATATTCCCTCTGGGCAAAGGAGTAGCTACTTCAAAGCTTTATTTGATAATGGAATGTTTGATTTCTTTGTTTTTCCTTCCCAGTGTGGGTAGGTTGGTTGTTCTCACTCCATGGTATTGTGCTGAATTTTAAATTCTGAATTGGCTTGCTAAGGACTTTATAAAATGGTTTTGTCAGATTAAATAAGTATATCAATGCTATAAATAGGTTTATAAATTTTATCAATATACTAATGATTATAAAACAGTTCATTCATGTATTAGTTATCTTCAAGGACAGTTCTGTCACTTCATAAAAACATAACGGGTAACAAATTGATTTATTTGATATATCATCTAAAGCTTCTACTTACCTGTCTATCTACTTCTGGGAGTAAAAGCAGGAGGTATTGTTGAAAATGCTGAGGTAAAGAAGCAAAGGTATGCTTATTTATTAATGCCCTTAAATTAGTGTTGACAAGAATAGATCCTGGGGTTTCTATGTCAATGTCCTCAGCTTTGGTCCATTTCAAGTGTCCTGTGATAAAAACAAAGAAGGAATTTACTAGACTGGGGAAAACACATGTGTCCATACCTGTATATGAATGAGTATGTATATATACATATATGTATATGTATATAGACATACATATGTATATGTCTATATATATCCAATGATATGTTTCATTCCATTTCTATTAAAATGCATTTCAGAAAGAACTTTTGTAACTTTGTGTTCTGTCATGATCTGATTACCTTTAGCTCTTATAAAGCATATTTCACTCAGTACCACATATATACATATATGTGTACAGATATATGCATACATATGTATACACACAAGCATGCACATCATATATATGACTTACTCATGACTCTGCACTCAGGGATCACTGCTACAGACTGGGGGGATCACATGGGATTCTGTGCTCTTCAGCAACACAGCTCTATATTTTGTTTGTCTGTTTGAGGCCACTCTTAGAGACACTCAGGGGTTACTACTGACTCTGCACTCAGGAATTACTCCTGGATGTGCTCACTCCCAGCTATATATTTTTGTTTGGGGGCCCACATCCAGTGGTGCTCACAGGTTACTCCTGTCTCTGCCATGCACACAACCCTCCACTGCCCCCCCGGTCCCAAGATTATATATATATATTTTTTTTTAAACTAAAAGTACGACCAGGAACAACTAAAGAAACTTATCTTCCAATCAATCATAATGTTCAGAAATTTATTTTCCAATCAATCGTAATGGTCAAAAACTTGGAAATAGAAATGGTGACAATATAATCTTTGTATATTCTCTAAAAACTAGGGTTAATGTATCAATGAAAAGATGGTCAGCTTTCTTTTTCATATTTTTAAATTTAGGGGCTATATTTGGCTGTGCTCAGGGCTTATTCCTGGTTTTGTGCTCAGGGATCACTCCTGGCAAGGCTTGGGGGAATCACATGGGTGTGGGGGATAGAATTCAGGTCAGCCATGTGCAAGGAAATGCCTTAGCTGCCTCCCTATCCTCCAGCCGCATGTCAGCTTACTTTAATAGAGATAAACATAGTGTGGGTATCTGTGTCAAGGCACTAAGTGCTGGATTATTTCATAAGATTCCTATTTGGGGTATTTTAAGGGCAATAATTTAAAAACCATCCTTTATAAAAATGTTAGCTGCAAGGTCTGAAATGCCAGTATGCTTTGAAAAATAATTCCACAACTCAAGGCACTGTGACCTCCAACAGAAGGTTTATGTAGAGCTTACAACTCAAAATTGTGACACATGAGAAAATAATACACCATAAGGCAGAGTTAGCTGATACATCAAACAGAAGAATTACCACTCTGTTACTTGAGTTAAGGCGAACCACTTGAATATAATTCAATAAAGCTTATTTTAAATCAAAGGTCAGAAAATTATGGCCCATGAATTATATTCAATTCAATGACTGTTTTGGTAAATAAAGTTTTACTGGAACATAGGCATACCCAATTGTTTATATATTGGCTAGGTATGCCTATGCACTGAAATAGAGTTAAATAGTTGTGACAGAAATCACATGGCACACAAAGCCTACAGTGTTCACTCTCTTGCCTTAATTTTAAAAAAATCAACTATAAAAAATAAAGACAAAAGAAAAAAATCTCTGATACCGGAAAAAAAGCCAAAACACTCCCAGGGCTCTTATTTTAAACACCAGAGCTTTAAAACAGAATCAAACAGAACATTTAAAAACAAAAAATTGGGTTTTGGGACCTAAGAGATAGTACAGGGGTTAAGGTGCTTGTCTTGCACTTTTGATCCACATATGACCCACATTTGATCCCAAATACCAAATACAGTGCCCTGAGCACCATCCTGAGCACAGAGTTAAGGTAGCCTCTGTGGACCACCAGGTTTGGCTCTGTAATGAAAATATTTCGATTTGGGTCCAGAGCTCTAGTAAGATGGATAAGGCATTTGCCTTGCATGCAGCTGACCCAAGTACAATCACTGTCATCACTTACAGTCGGTCACCAAGCCCACTAGGAGTAATCCCTGTGCAGCACTAGGTGTGATCCAAAACAAATTAAAAAAAATAGATAAAAAAATTTTAAAAATAGGCTAATAAAGGATTCTGAATACAAAACAGAACTGATAAAATATCCAGAGTATAGAGGAATGAGTCAAAATGCATAAAGAAGAAATACAAGGAATAAAGGAATATAACAGCAGTTGGAATTGTATATCTATAGAATTCAAAATGAAAAAGCACAGTGGATAGAAAAGCCAATATTTGAAGACATCTGAAAGATGTCTCTGAACTGAAAGAATGACTCCCCAGGTAAAGAAATAGACCAAATCTCAAGAAAAAATAAACACCCAGCTATTTGATACACTTCACTTAAATGGACTTAAATGGAGATAGATAGATAGATAGATTGATATAGCACTGTAGCACTGTCCTCCCATTGTTCATTGATTTGCTTGAGCGGGCACCAGTAACCCAGTAACATCTTCATTGTGAGACTTGTTGTTATTGTTTTTGGCATATTGAATATGCCATGGGGAGTGCCACGGAGAGCACCACGGTGAGCTCTGCTGTGTGGGTGGGATACTCTCGGTAGCTTGCCGGGCTCTCCCAGAGGGGAAGAGGAATCAAACCTGAGTCAACTGTGTTCAAATAAAGTAGTGACTTTATAGTACACTCTTATCAATCACAAGTCACATCTTGCATGCAGTTTTCTTTCCACTTGCTTTAGCTCTCATCAGTTATTTTTATTATTTCTCTATTAAAGTTTTATATAGTATTGCTTTAGTTTCTTAACTTACTGACTGCTTCTGTAACCCATTAATTCCTTCTTTAATGAAAGTTTTTAATTTCTGTTTTTGTTAGTTTATCCTCTAGTGGTTATTTTTTGAACCGGCAGAGCCTGGCAAGCTCGGCAGAGCCTGGCAAGTTCGGCAGAGCCTGGCAAGCTCCCCGTGACGTATTCGATATGCCAGACACAGTAACAACAAAGTCTCCAATGGAGACGTTACTGGGCCCGCTCGAGCAAATCAATGATCAACGGGAGGTCCTTTTCTTTACTAACTTTACTTTGTTTGAACAAGAAAAATACAGATTATTTATTTTCTTTGTTAAAACTCTAATGGCAGTCATGGAAAAATAAGAATTATAACTTCTAAATAAATTAATGGTATAGAAAATCAATCAAATAGAAGGAATAAAAGAAGTGTGTGGGGATGGGAATGCAATACAATCAAAATAAATACAAACAGATTTTCATATTAGATTTAAAAATAAAACAATTTAAGGGGCCAGAGACAGTACAGTGGGTAAGATGCTTGCCTTGCACATAGCTGGCAGGGGTTCAATTGTTGGCATTGCTGCTAACATCACACAATTCGAGTGAAAAATTAAAAGTCTTCCTACTAAGATCCAGACACAAGAATGTCCACTTTTCACAAATAGTAGTCAATATAATATTCCTGACCATAGCAAAGACTTGTGACAAGTCTTTGCTATAATAATCAGGCAAGAAATATAGAAAGGGCATCAAAATAAAAAAAATATTTAAGTAATAAAATTATCTTTATTTTCAGATGACATTATACTGTACAATCCTAAAGACTGTACAAAAAAAAAACTAAACAATAAACTGATACAGTAAAGTAGCAGATTACAAAATAAACACACAGAAATCCATGGCATTCCTATCTGTAATAGAAGAGAGTAATTATTTAAAAAAACCTATCATTCACAATTAAACCTCAAAAATTTAAATACCTGGGAATAAATTTAACAAAAGAGGTGAAATATTTATATAATGAAAATTATATATCATCGCTGGAAGAAATTAGATGTACTGAATGGAAATGGATACTCCACTCATGGATTGGAAGTATTAATCTTGTCAAAATGACAGTTCTACCAAAACACCATATAGATTTAATGTTGTCCACATAAAAATACCCATGACATTTTTAAAAGACATAGACCAGGGACTAGAAAGAAAATACAGAAAATAAGGCATTTGTCTTACAAGCAGCTGACATTATTCCCCCCATCTGGTTCCCCCAGACCCATTAAGAGTAATCCCTACCTTCATAGAAAGGAGTGAGCCAAGTGTAGCTCCTCCCACAAAAGAAAGAAAGAAAGAAAGAAAGAGAACAGAAAAAAATTCTAAAGAGAGACCAAACACTGTTGATGGAGTAATAAATCCCCTTACATAGTCAAAACAATCCTAGGAAAAAAGATGGGAGCCTTTACTCTTTCCAACCTTAAGTTATATTATAAAACTAAAAGAATCAAAACAGTGTGGTACTGGAATAAAGAGATAGACTCCCATGCCTAGACCAATGGAATAGAATTGAGAACTCACATAAAGATCCTCAGGTTAATTTTGACAAAGGAGCTAAGAATAGGAACTAGATTAAGGAAAACCTCCAACAAATAGTACTAGGAAAATTAATCAATCACATGTAAAACTATGACTCTCGGCAAGCTACCGAGAGTATTCGATATGCCAGACACAGTAACAACAGAGTCTCCAATGGAGACGTTACTGGGCCCGCTCGAGCAAATCGACGATCAACGGGAGGGCCTTTACCTTTACTCTCAGTATACACAAAAGTAAATTAAAAATAGATTAAACACCTCAATATCAAACCTGAATCCATAATTTATACTAAAGAAAACATGGGCAGAAGTATCTTCAGTGATTATTATCGCTTGCTAAATGAACAGAAGCAAAGATTAAAAAGCGGTGTTACATTCGTTGGTGGTGGAGAATGGGCACTGGTGGAGGGATGGTTACTCAATCATTGTATAATTGAAACCCAAGCACAAAAGTTTGTAAGTCTACAACTGTACCTCATGGTGTTTCACTAATTAAAAAAAAAAGTGGGGGAACCCAGGTGTGCAGGACCTGAGGCTTAGATCTCCAAGCCTGCTCAGATTGAGACTGGGCCTCCTCCACCCAGATCTCCCATCTTCCAGTATGTAGGCGTTACACCCACCAACTGCCCCAGGCGCCGTGTATTCCCATCAATGGCCAAAA